CCCCTTCCTCACCCGCCCCTTCACCTCCCCACCCCTCCCTCGGCTCCTTGATGTGGCTAAGTTTCCGCCTCCTACTCCCTCGGGCTTCCTGCATGAGCCCCAGTTACGGTGAAAACTCATCTCCCCTTCTAAGAACCCCGACGTCCGGTCCCCGGAACCCTCCCCAGGCCAGGGACCCAGGAACCTGACCCCCATCCCTCCTCCCTCAGCCAGGAGCGGGACCCCAGCCCCGCCCCTCGGGGACCCGGAGTCCATTTCTCCTCACGCACCAGGCTTGCCCCGGCTGGGCGTGGAAGGGGCCAGGCCGGGTGACAGCCAGAGATCGAAAGCGAAAGGAAATTTTGGGGGGCGATAGTGAGCCCGGGGTGGATCGGGCTGAGGCAACGGGCGCCACCTGGTGGTGACAGGTGGCGTCTCACGCGCGCCCCGGAGCACCGAGTTGGGTTGATTCCCCGGTGGGACCCACAGCGAATGGGGAGCGGGCTCCAGCCAGAACCAATGCACACGGGGCAAGGAGAAGGTCGCCCTGAGGACCTCATCCTCTCCTGGAATGGGGAAGGCTGGTCCGAGATGCGCACAGGAGTCAGAAGGAGGAGGGCCGAGCGCTGGAAGAGATGGAAGGAGAGCTGGGAGGGGAGAAAGAGGGGACACAGAGAGAAGGGGGCTGTGTGTGTGGGGCGTCGTCCAGGTGAGGGGTGCGAGTGGAGCCGACAGAGGGCGCCCCCACCCCGTGCGTCGCCCGCAGACCTCCTTGCTGCCGTTGCTACTGCTCAGCCCTGGCCTCCGCGGGGACCCCCGACTGCTTCAGCCACAACGCCATCTCCACATTGGATGCGTGGCCTAAGCGTAGCTCCTGGGAGCTCTGGGGTTCCTTGGCTTGTATCTGCATATCTCCATCTCTGCCTCTGTCTTCACCTGGCCTTCTCTAGAAGTGTCTCCCCTCTGGGTGTCTCTTATAAGGACACTTGTCATTAGATGTTGGGCCCACTCGGATAACTCAGGATGATTTTTTTTTTTAAGTTTATTTATTTTGAGAGCGAGCGAGTGAGAGAGAGGCAAAGAGAGAGGGAGAGAGAGAATCCCAAGCAGGCTCTGGACTGTGATATTATGACCTAAGCTGAAGCCA